TGTTAAGAAAATCTCGAAGAATAATTGCAAAAATACCATAAGAATGTGTCTGCTTTATCAGTAGGGCACAAAAAATTACTCCAGTAAGAAATGATTTGGAGGTGCAGAGGATGTTACTGGTCTGAAGTCTGTGTGCCCGGCGCTCTGAAATGCTAGAACTCAAAACATCAGAATTTGGAGTAAGGAAAGATTTATTGATTGAGGAGACACCCTTCTAGAAGATGGAGGTTCTAATCCTCAAGTCCATTTTAAGGTCCATTTTAAGAAAGCACAGAGTTCAAGCTTATTTTAGGTCAAAGGAAGGGAAAATAGGAGGGACTATTTTTGTAAAAACTCAAACCCCAAGCAGAATTCCTTTAATAATTAGCATGCATGTCTAAAACAGCAGCTATTAACTGGAACAGAACCTGTTAACATGGGAACAATGCAGGCTTAAATAAGGTGAAGTCAGAAAGACCGAGCATTTCACTCTGTTACAAGGACATTACCAGTGTCTGGCCCAGTCTCTTTGTCAGCCATTGTCCCCTTCCCCAGCTGCTACGAGAGTCACCTGATCACACTTAGCTCTTTCTTCAGAGAATGTCTTTAGCTAAATGAAGCTACCTCACAAGGTGGCCACGTGACTCGCCATTCTGCTCTATCTATAACCCCACGGGGAGAGAATATCTCTCTAATCTGAAGAGACTTTCTGCTTCTGCTGTGAGGAGATGTGGGAACTACATTCTGCTCCATCGAGAGTGGTGGATGCTGCTAATAATGTAGGGAGGAGGCAAGAGAACTAAAATGTTAAATCAAGCTATATTCAGAGACTGCAATATGCTAATCAGTCCTGATCAGCCAGATCATGAGGAAACCCATAGAACAAAGGAAGATTTCTGCTGGGATTGCTAACATTTATTTCCCACACCCTGAAAGGAAAACTGGAAAAATGAAGTCTTTAAGTCATGCCCTACACAAAATAAAATCATTCATTGGCTAAAACCATGGGGGAATCTATGGATCACAGGCTGGGAACTGCCAGCAGGCCTTTCACATTACATATTGTTACCTTTTCATGTTGCATACTCTTACCCTTCCTCACTGTATGTCCGTATCAAAGAAAAATGGGTAAACGAAGTCTTTAAACTATAACTCACAGGAACTAAAGAATGACATATAAACTGAATTCTTTAAACACTTGGGATCCCTCTCAGTGTCTTTCTCTAGGTCCCTCTCACTGTCCTCACCTCTCTCCATTGTCTTTGTCCCTCTGAGTCTCTCTTAGGCTCTCTCACTCTCTGCCTTTGAGAGGAGATAACACTCTGTTTGTGGAATGTTACCCTTTCTCTAGTAAACTTTCCTCCAGACTTTAACTTTGGTGTGTGTTTGAACGCTTTCTTACGCTCCACCAAGAACCCTCTTCTTTCTCAGTGCAGGGCTTGAGTTCCACCCCACAATGTGGGGGAATTTGCCCTGTCCTGCATCACTAAGACAGATTCTCTTACTGGGCAGGTACTTGTAAGGAAGGGCCTTGGTGGGACCCCGTGGTAGAGGCCTCACAGCATCCCTGATCTTACCTTTCCTTGCCTTATAGCTTAACTATAGATGTCCCCAGCGGCTTGACACAGAGTTTGGAGTGTCCCCTGCCATAGAAAGTTGCTCTGAAACTTATGATTAATGCCCTTATACTTACTGATCACAATCCTTCTGGTCTAGTATTCTTTCCAGATTACTCTCATCTTTGTTCTTGGGTTGCTAACACTGCTACTGGAGGACCACGTTGCCAAAGGAACGGCTCTATGAAGCACAACAGACCGTCTCCTCCACCCCATGCCCTGAACCATTGTGCAGCCTCTGGAATAATTCCCAGGTTTCTCCTTAAATATCCTAAGCTAGACTGAGAAAGTAAGGCAGTTCTGAAGGTGTTAACCTGCTGCCTTCTCAGATCACTGGTGCTCTGACAATAAACGCTTATTCTAAATATCCCAGCTCCTGTGTGAGTCTGTTGCCTGAGTGGCACAGGCAGCACGAGCCCTGGACTTGGTTTCCTTCCAGTTTCACTTGGACACAGCTGTGACAACATTTTCTGTGCTGTCTCCTTGGCTGCAGCTTTTCAAAGCCCCAATTTGGTAGGTCAGGCTGCTTTTGGGTGGGTCTCAAGAGAATCCTAGAGATTCTTTAGGTATATAGAGAACCAACATTCCAAAGGGATTGCAGGGTAGAGGAATCCTCTAAGTCAGGGGTCCCCAACTCCCTGGCTGTGGACCAGTACCGGTCAGTGGCCTATTAGGAACCAGGCCTCACAGCAGGAGATGAGTGGCAGGCGAGCAAGCAAAGCTTCATCTGTATTTGCAGCCGCTTCCCAGCACTAGCATCAGCAACTCAGCTCTGCCTCAGATCATTAGGCATTAGGTTCTCATAGGAGCACTGGCCCCTGGTGCCAAAAAGGATGGAGATGGCTGCTTTAAGTCTGTCCTAAAGGGCTTTGGCAGAAAGTGACTCAGTGACTCAGCATAGAAATTCCAGGACAGGACTTTAACTAAAAAAAAAAAGAATCCTCAGGATCCAGGAGCTTTGCCTGGGGCCACCAAACCTAGAGCTAAGGATTGCTGCCTACAGACAACAGCCATTCACATGGACAATTGTGCTTCATAAATGATTCAATATTTTAAACTACTTGTTGTAGATTTAAAAAAATGGCTTTCAAATTCTTTGACTCTCTTCCCATTGATAGATGGGGGCTGTGTCCGCTTCTATTGAATCTGGGCTGGCTTGTGATATCTTTGAAAGATAGGACAAGGCAAAAGTGATCTGCATGACTCCTGAGGTTAAGTCACAGAAGGCAATGAAGCCTTGAGTTACCATATAAGGAAACCCATTACCCTGTGATTCCATGCTGGAGAGACCACATGTAGGAGAACCAGAGGATAGTCCTAGTTGAGCCCAGCCTTCCAGCCGTCTCACCCAGGCACCCTGCATGTGAGTGAATGAAGCCTCCAGATGATTCCATCACCCTGCCCTAGAGTTCCCCCAAACTTCAGATCTCCCTGACAGAGCCCCAGCCTTGCTGGAGCAGAGGCAAGTTATTAGCACTGTGCCCCAGCTGAATTCCTGACCTACGAGAACCTGTGGGCATCATAAAATGATGGTTTTATGTCACTAGTTTTGGGGTGGTTTAAAACGCAGCAATTGTAACTGGAACCCCACTCCTGCATTTAAAGGTGAGAGAGAGAGAGAGAGAGAGAGAGAGAGAGAGAGAGAGAGAGAGAGAAAGAGAGATTGATTGATTTTAGGTCAGAGTTGTGGAGCCAATTCAGGGCAGAGCCAGAATCTATCTTCCATCTGTGTGAGCTCAAAGCTGCCTTGTTCCTGTCTCACTAATCTGTCTCACTCCTTGATCCTAGGTATGCTGTGACTCCTCTAGGTAGCACTTTAAGAGGGAGTTTGAAAACTAGAGCGTGTTCAGACGATGTGGCCTCATACCAGGAGGGACAGTTGAATGCTCTGGGGACATTTAGTTTTGAAAGAAGAAGTCTTGGCAGAAAATGTGGGCTGTCTTCATGTATCAGAAAAGTCGTTAGTGGAAAATAACGTTGTGGCCCTAGATGGCAGAGTCGAGAGTAGCAGGCTCCAGGCGACACTTGTTGGGAAAAACTCTACTGATGACACTTGGGAAAAGACAGCGACGTCCAAGGAGGCTGTGAGTTCCCATCACTGGAAGTAGCTAAGAACAGCTGCACCCCCCAGACAGATGATATGAAGGGAAGGCAAGCAACAGGTTGGGGTAGGAGCACGTAGCTTTTGAACCTCCTTTGACTTCGAGATGTCAGAATTTAGGCTGCAAATCAGGAGACGAATAGAAAGAGCTGTCCCTAGGATGACAGTGGGCACAGATCACTCAAAGTGCTTCCACAGGAAAATGCCCACCTGTGTGCTTAGGTTTGATCACCCCTCTCCCTACCAAAGCTTTTCAAAATCACATTCCTTTTATGTCCACTGACAAATTAAACTGGTCCTACTTTGGTCACTGCTAAATATCCAAAGACACTTAGATTGGACTGTACAAATTGTTATTATTCTGTAACGCACAACATAGGCATCTTAGCTTCTTCCATTCCTGTTGCCATTCGGTTGGGATAAGAGATGCTGCATGCTTGTGTCAGAGAAGGAAAGAGCAGCTAATTTGATTAGTGACTGGAGAAGCCTGAGACTCAGCACAATGTCCTTGGGTCAGATCATTGATTTGCAGCTTTCTCTGTTTGTAGGACAGTGAGAGAATTTTCTTCTATCTTCTAACATTTTTAGGTGAGGCTAGTGAATGAATGCTAGTGACATCCTGGTTTACCCAGATATATGTGTTCCTTTCTCAGCTGCCCATGAGTGTCTGCTCTGAAACAAATAGGCATCACAGCCTTCCCACTGGTTGCCTGAGAGAGAAGCATATCAGCTGAGACACATATTAAAATTTCATATTCCCTGGTTCCTTCTCTGCAGATCCAGATTAGTAGATGGAGAAGGGGGCAGGTATCTGTGTTACCTATGCCCAGGGGCCTCTATGACCAGTCAAGTTTAGAAAGCTCCTGTATAAAGAAGGAAGAAACAACCATGAGACTCCTTCAAGCCAAGATATTTATTGGGCCAGATGGATGCTAAGATTGGTAATGTGCTCAGATCTGGGAGGACAGAGGAGGGAGGAGCCCCGGGCTGATCCCTTTTTCTAAGCAAAAAAAAAAAAAAAAAAAAAGCTGAAATGCACTGAAAGCTGGGAAATAGAAGACTGAAAAGCTTGCTGTGTCCCCTACCCTCACCTCCACCCATGGCCAAGGCTGAGCAAGCAGGGCTTGGTGGCTTTGGCTTCTTGGCCTTTGCTCTTGTACTTCTGAGCCTTCAGGGGTCACTGCCCACCAGGCTCAGCAGGG